AACTGTGGATGTTTTCCATTTGCCACAATAATTTTGGTTGTACACCAAGTTAGTAGATCCCGAGTCTCCCATTGTTCTTTTGTTGATGTAAAAATTGTCCGTTTCTTGGTTTTATTAGCACGTTAGGAATTTCATGGTTGCACACACTGAAGTGGGCTGGCCACCATCAGCCTCCCTGGAGGATACTGAATTCGGCAGCTTTTAGTTTCCTCTGCGTTATCTGGCGTAGAGCTTGTAAGAGTCTTTTTCCTCCAGAGCCTCCATGAAGAACAGATGTTTAAAACTGAAGTTTGTTCAGAAATGTGCTTTAATCAATCAAACACAGACTTTTATCACCCTCCCAAGTTGAAGGAATTAAAAGCAGAGAAAACAACTTTCTTTGTAAGTCCTTTCTGTATTTTCACTTCTGATTTTCCCATATTGGGGGTTAGGGGAGGCCGAATTCCTTTCGTTAGAAGCACTTTGCTGCTTGTTCATCTTTATTTCTGATCTCTTGGTGGGCCCTTACATGAGGCACAGATGGAGAATTGTTGAGAATTCCTAATGGAATACTAGGGTTACTTGACAAGTGCTTTGTTTCTTTCTAATTCAATTTCTAGTTTTGAAGGATACCGTCCTTCCTCAAGGCCTTGGCTGCCTTAGCAGTGCCAGTCTGTTGTGTGTATGTTTATTTTTTAAAAAAATATATTTTATTGATTTTTTACAGAGAGGAAGGGAGAGAGATAGAGAGTTAGAAACATCGATGAGAGAGAAACATTGATCAGCCGCCTCCTGCACACCCCCTACTGGGGATGCGCCCGCAACCCAGGTACATGCCCTTGACCGGAATCGAACCTGGGACCTTTCAGTCCGCAGGCCGACGCTCTATCCACTGAGCCAAACCGGTTTCGGCGATAGTAAAATGTTTTAAATCCATATGAGAAAAATTTTCAACCAAAATAACTAAAATTATTCACTTTTTGAAACTTGCACTGTTTTCTGCTATCCAAAATGACTCATAATAGCCAAGTGCCTTTTTGAGTTACTGTAATTTTTATTTTTTTATGTCTTTCTTGATTTTTTAGAGAGAGAAGAAAGGAGAGGGAGAGAAAGAGAAACATCAATTGGCTGCTTCTGGTATGGTCTGGGACCGAACCCTAAACCTGGGCATGTGCCCTGACCAGGAATTGAGCCATGACTTCCAGGTTCATAGGTCAACATTCAACCACTGAGCCACATCGGCCAGGCCCTATTCACATAATTTTTAAAATGGTACATTTCTCTGTCATGTTAGAAGAAGTACAAATATTAGATAATTTATAAAATGTATAAGTAATCAGGCCTTGCCGAACTAGAAAACAAAACAAAAAACTGCCTCCACCACTTCCCCTTATCCGGTTGTGAAAAGCAGTGCTTCAGGGCAAATGATTGGTATAAACTGCTTGCCATACCATGTGCTGTTTACCTGTTATTTATATTAAGTAATATATCCTTCCATCCCTTTCACTTTAGGCAGCTCACTCCCGCTCTTGGAGATCATAGTGACTGTGAGGTAGACTGGAAAGAGGGTGGGACTGGGGGTCAGGAGACTATAGGGTCAGTTCAGACTGTGCCTCTGGTTAGCTCTGTGGCTTTAAGTCATTTTTCTGAGTCTCAGCATCATCCATTAAAAATGATCCCTCTTGTCCCTTCCCTCCCTCTCTCACTAATTATTTGATATTTCATCTATTCTTAAAGCACTGTTACCAGGGTTGTGGAAGAAGGATGATGCTGCGTTCTTAACTTTAATGAACGCATGAATGATTGGGGAACTTGAAAAAAAATACTGATTTCCAGGTTCTAATCCCAAAGATTTGAATTCAGTTGGAATGTTTTTTTAACAAGCATCCCAGAAGATTCTGATACAGATACCTTCAAAAATGCTGTCTTAGTAGGTTCCAAGTATGGCACAGTATTTTCCTTAGTAGTTTATTAAGGAGAGGCTGAGAGCCAGATATTTTATTTTCACTTTTTATAAACTATAAATATGATTGTGTGTGCAGTATAGTTGCAACAGAACTAGACAGTAAAAAAGAAAATTGATATCCTTTGGAGTTGGTTTGAAAGCCATAAAGGTGACTGATTTGTAGTATTATTGAGAAGATGGTATGTTTAGACCTTAATTTTGATTGTTAAAGCAAGGATGGAAGGAGTGGAGGGTAAAGTCTCTATTGGCCACACACTTCCTCACATAGTTTACTCTTTCTAGTCAAAAGGAAATTATTTACTAGCATTGGTATAACAGTGTCATGGTACTACCACGGCTCTTAATCCCAAGGAAATTATTGAGTTTGTAATTCATTTCCCAACTATTTAATGTTGGTATTACTTATTTAGATTAAATATTTTTTCTTTCTTTTTCTGGGAGAACTCCAGAATTTTTATTCCTCTTGCAGTAAATATCTTGCTTTTCCCCCCACTTGCTTCCTTATGTTTCAAGTAGATTGGTTAGCTGTATATTTGTTCTTCCGTTTCCCAGTATATAGCTTGTCACATGTTATTTGAGAAAATCTGCCTGAATCAAACTCTCCTTATTATAATATATTTTATTGATATTTTACAGAGAGGAAGGGAGAGGGATAGAGAGTTAGAGACATCGATGAGAGAGAAACATCGATCAGCTGCCCCCTGCACACTCCCCACTGGGGATATGCCTGCAACCAAGGTACATGCCCTTAACCGGAATCGAAAAAAAAATATTTGCCAGATCCATCCATGTTATCCCAAACCATAAGAGATCCCTCTTTTTTTTACAGCTGCACAGTATTCCATTGTGCAAATATCCCACAGCTTTTTTATGCATTCATCCACTGGTGGGCACTTGGTGGGGACAAGAAGAGATAAACCAAAGAACGGACATACTTACTAGAGGCCTGGTGCACGGGATTCATGCGCTGCAGGGGGGCGTGGCCTGCGGGGATCGGCCCACTGTGGGAGCACTGCTCATCCTGGTCAGCTGAGTGGCGCTCCCACTCTGGGAGCACACTGACCACCAGGGGGCAGCTCCTGTATTGAACATCTTCCCCCTGCTGGTCAGTGCACATCATAGCAACTGGTCAACCGGTTGTTCTGATCGTTCCGCCGTTCAGTTGCTGGGCTTTTATTATATAGGATAGGATGACAGTATTCTTTCTTTTTACATGGGAATCTAAAAGCATTTGCATTCTGCTTTTTGTAGTATTTACATTCTACCTCTTTAAACTGAGTGACTTTGCACACTTTTACTTTATATAATATTAGAGGCCTACTGCACGAAATTTGTGCATGGGTAGGGTCCCTATGCCTGGTCAGCGATCAAGACTGATCTGTGGAGTGACCAGCAGCATGATTGGGGTGCCCCTGCTGGCACCTGCCTTGGCTGGCCTGGCACCGCCTGCTCGCCGGCCCTGTCCCCCACCACTGCAGGTCACCTCCCTCTGTGGGCAACTGGTGGGGTGATTGGGGGCCCCCGCTGGCACCCACCTTGGCTGTCCTGAGGCCTCTGGGCTGGGGGCTGCTCCTGCGTTGAGCATCTGCCCCCTGGTGATCAGTGCATGTCGTAGCGACCTGTCATTCCACCAGTCGTTCAGTGGTTTAGTCAATTTACATATTAGGCTTTTATATAGGATTGCCTTCAACTGGATGCCTACACCTCCAAAGCAGGTTTTTCTTTCCTGGATTTAAGCCTAGTATGAGCAAGAAACCTCCACATGACTATACCCTTTGTTACTTGGGCAGGGATGGCTAGTATGCTGGGCTGCTGCTCCCCTTTCCATCTTATCCATTCAATAGACTTCACTCAAGGTCACCACATCTTTCCTCCTGAGCTTACTGTAGTTTTAGAATCAGCAGCAGAGCTCAGGCATCCACTACATTAGGTCAACATTAGGCACTTGTAAATGGACAGCAGCAGGTTTTTTTAACTGTTTATCAGGTAAAGTGCACTCTTCAGAACTATCTCTATATATAAAAGCCTAAGTGACCATTAGGACCAGAACGACCGGTTGCTATGATGTGCACTGACCATCAGTGCACTCCCACATCGGAACCGCTGCTCAGCCAGAAGCTGGGCTCATGGCTGGACAGCACAGCTACAGCGGTGCAAGCCTCTCCTGCCTCCATGGCAGTGCTACCAAGTGGCGCGGTGGCAACAGGACCGGAATGAACAGGAGTGATGCCCAGCCCTTGGCTCTGACTCCTTCCTGGCCGCCTGCTGCTTCCTGCACTGCTACATCCCCTGAGGGGTCCCGGATTGTGAGAGGGCGCAGGCCAGGCTGAGGGACCCCACCGGTACACACATCCATGCACCAGGCCTCTAATAATAAAATATTCTGGTAGCACTTAACTGGTAAGCAGACTGGTTTGTCAATTTCAGCTTCTGTACTATAATCCTGTCTGGAAAACTGTCTCTCTCAGTGCCTTTAACTTAAAGGTGGCCATCTATCTATTGGTTATTTTTTCACATACTTGTTTATAACTTTATTTAAAACTTTTTTTTGAAGATCTATGTAATGATTACGTCAGATATAAATAAGTCATGGCCCTGGCATACGGAATTCACAGTCTTTAGAGGTGCAAATAGATTAAACCAGAGTCCTATAATAGTTCATGTATATTGAGTAAGATGCGGGGGAAGAACATCTTAAAAAAAAAAAAAAAGCCCCGGCTGGGTAGCTCCGTTGGTTAGAACGGCAATCTGAGTTCAATCTGCAGTGAGGGCACATACAAGAATACAAGAAGCAACCAATGAAATGAATACATAAATAAATGGACCAGTAAAATTGATGTAAGCTTTGTAAAGGAAGTGATGTTGAAACTGAAGCTTGAAGGGTAAATAGGGAATTTCCCCAGCTGGAGAGAAGGAAAAGGCATTCCAGATAGCAGAGAGACCTGGGAAGTTCAAGCTAACCCCTGTAAAATCCTTAAGGGTTAGAATTAGTTGGGATTTAAAATAAATTCCTGGGTAGTATTATATGATGATAACCCCTTAATTTGTTTCAAACTCTGTCCAACGATGTTTTCCAGGAACCCGAATCATTTATGATCGAAAGTTTCTGTTGGATCGTCGAAATTCTCCCATGGCTCAGACCCCACCCTGCCATCTGCCCAATATCCCAGGAGTCACCAGCCCCAGCACCTTAATCGAAGACTCCAAAGTAGAAGTAAACAATTTGAACAACCTGAACAATCATGACAGAAAGCATGCAGTTGGTAAGAGAATGCTGGTATTGGGGTTCAAGAGGGTGACCCTAGAAATCTGTATGTCATCTATGGGTTGGAAAATGTTGATGCTTCAATTATAACTAATGGTCAATTAATTATATGTCTCTAAGTTCTCCCTCCCCACTACCCTCACCAAAGTTAATTGAAATGTTATGGAAACCCTAAGCTCCAAATAAGCATCAAATTTCATCTAGTGGGTGCAGAGGGAAAAAAAATCAGGGAACTTGGGCTCTATGCGACTAGGGAAAACACAAAACAAAACTGTTTAACCATTTCTAGACCATAAGCAGGTATAGACGCAAGCGTCGGATCTTTTTTAATTAAATTCAAAATATGTGGCAGTTAACTGGTTAAAAGTCCCCATTTCTAGCTTGTGGGGGAAAGCAATAGGTTTTTCCTCCCGTTTTCTAGGACTGCCTATAATATTTAAATAAACAGCCCCTACACACACACAGTTAGTAATGAGTCCTTGCTGTCTCTGGAAGCAGAAGAGGGAGGTTGAAACAGCCAGCTCCTGAAGTCCACCTCAGGTTGCACTCCGTGACCCTGTACATGAGCCAGCATTCCGCCTCCTCAAATTCCAAATGAGTTTTTAATGGACAAAGTGTCGATTCAAAGCGGGGCCAAAGTTCAAAACTTCCAGAAGAGTGTGCTGATGTGATAGATGGCAAGAAGCACCCCAGGATTCCTGTGTGGTCAACCTGTAGGTAAAGGGACACCGGGAAGGTTTTCATTTCCATCCTTTTCTCAAATGCTCCTTCCCATTGGTGATGTGATTGCCATTCTTTTTTTCTCCCCCAAGATTAAAAAGACCAGCCAAAGCAAAGCCGAATAATTGTTTTAAGGCAGCAGAAAATTGGACAGTTTGAATTAATTTTTTACCCTCGTGCAGAGGGAATGACAATGAAAGCTATTTTGCTTTTCCTTTTTGTGTAAGACTTTTCATCTTTTCATTCCAACTAGGGGATGATGCTCAGTTTGAGATGGACATCTAACTGTTCTGCAAGGATCAGAAGAATAGCAGCAACGCTGATACCTGTGTGTGTACCTGATTTGGCCAATAGGATCAACAATGAAAACACAGAAGAGGCAGTACCAGCAGTCCCCATTGCAGTGCCCCCTCCTCTTCCTCTGGGTGCCAAATGATGCGAAGATGAGCTTCATCTGACTATTTCCTCTTCCTGCTTCTGTTCCCTTTCCCACTTAGATTAGATTGAAGGCCCATGGTGTATTTCTGTAGAACTAAGCAGCCCACAAAGGAAAACAGTTGAATTCTGGCTTTCTTAGTCATTTTTGTATTGAGACACCCTCCTCCCCCCATTAAAAAAGAAAATCCAAAATCAGATATCAACCTACCAACAATTGCTGGCTTCCAGGAGAGTCTGGGCAAGTGTTACAGAGGTTTGCTGGGTTCAGCATTGTTCATGTTCTTATCCTGTGTCTCCTGCCTGTCTTCCACCCATGGTTCAGTGCTACAACAGTCTGGTTTGGGGTCTTCAAAACCAGAGGGAAATAAACAAGAAAAGAGCTGCTCTCTCTTGTCCCTTAAGGTGTGTGTCCCTGGGGCCAGCACAGGTTGTACAACTCTGGTAGCACTACCTGTGACACTGTTCTGAGGTCTGCTTCCCCTCCATCCTCTGGGAGGAATGCCTTCTGTCTTTGGTATAATAGTTTATCTTTCCATTCCTTTACTTAGCACATGTGTGCAAGCATTTTTAAACTCTACATGAGGGGGTCGTCAGTAACCAGCTGTTCTTTCCTCCTCTCCTATTCCTCCCTTCTTGCATCATGTTGCTTGTAGTCCTATTGTACTCTGAGCATCCACATGATTTCAGAGATAGAGCACTTTGGATGAGGCCTGATCATAGTACTTAAGCATGATTTTGGAAGAACCTTGGCTCATTTGAGTCACTAGTCTTAGTTGTCATTGTTTTTTTAATTCAATGAGCATTGTAATATCGCAGGCTGCAGTTTTTTGTATTTTTAAAGATGACTTCCAGAATGCTCTTAGAAAAACTAAATGTTTTTCCTTTGTGGACCTGCTTTATTTGGCTGCTGAGATAGATAAACATGGGCTTCAAAATGTGTTCCTCCCCATTTTCTTGCTTTCCCTTTGTACTCTGAATTTTCCCTTTCTTTCCCTTCCTCTCTCTCTCTCCTTCCTTTTCCTCTGCCAGGCCATGTTTCAAATATACATCAAAGATACCTCAGGTGTTGGTATCTGATAGTATCTGTTACTCCTCTTATCTGAGGAGTGACCTTTTATTTTTTAAGATGACTACAGACCTATTTTTAGATATGTTTTCAGTAAATTCTGAACAGCAACTTTTTAATTACATCTTCCAGTGTTAGGAAGGTGAGAAATGTCTGTAGGCAAGTCTGCTGTTCCATGTCACCATCCTTTGTCTCCTGCCGTCCCTTAGGAGCGCTCCCTTCCTCCTCCTAGTTTTGGGTGTGCATGCTTGGCGTTTGTAGTGGGTGGGTGGTAAAGCTGGACCGTTCTGCCTTGTGGGTTGTTCATGAAAGCCTCCTTCTTCTCCCTTACCCTTTGCTCTGTCATTCCCTCTGCTCCCTGGCCACCCCCCTGACTACTGACTGGCACAGTAATCCCAGGAGAGTGACTCAGTCCCTCTTAGAAAGACTAATGCCTCTGTCCCCTCATAGAAAGACAAGTAGCCTCTGATATCCTGGGAATTTCTGGTTGGATTTGGTGCCCTGAATCATCTATTGAGATCACAGCCCAGGGTGAGAGTAACAGGCCAGTTGGCTAAGAAAGAAAGCTGTTTGTTTTTCTTTTGAACTATGAAAAGACCCTGTGTGCAAATACATCTTAGACAAAAGAGGGAGCATGTCCAAGGAACTTTGTTCTGCTTTCTGCTATAAAATGTGAATAGTTCACAAAGTGAAACCTTTTGTGATGGTTGATATCTCAGGAATAAGCTGGACCTCCAAAGTTTGGAGATGCTTTCAGTCTCAGAAGCTGATGATCAGAAAAGTATTGTTTGTTTGTTTACTGTATCCCTGTTCCGATTTTAATTAAACTCCAGGTTTCGCTTTACATTCTCTTGGAAATCTCAAGTTACACTGTCATTTGCTTAAGAAGCTGGCTTAGGACGCCTTTGTCCCTGGAGCATGATTCTTTAGGAGTGAAGATTTCGTTCTTCACACCGTGGCCTTGGCGCCTGAGGAATCCAACTCCAACTACCGCTGGCTGGGCTGGCAGTGAGCAGAAGAGTGTCCCCTTCCTGACCTTATTGTTGCTCAGAAACCTCAGCCGCCTCTCCGAGCAGTGGGGAATGGAACTAAGACATGCCAGCTTGAGTGGTATAAGATACAGTTTTCCCCTTCGTTTGACAACTTGGGGGAGCTCTGTACGGGTCCCCTAATTAGAAGCCGTGTTTCTAGTATTCCTGGGAGTGTCAGCCGTATAGTACAGCCGCACCCAGTCCTTAGCCTCCTCTGCAAGGACTTCCTTACTGCTGGGCGAACTTCTTTCCTGGAGCCCACTGCCACTAGAAATACTTTGACTTCATTAATGGGTATCTTAAAGATGATTTCACAAGGCAACATAAAATTCCAACAGGTGACACCTTTGTGCCAAGCCTCCAAATCGTTTTCAGGGCAAGCAGGATCCAGTAGGTGGTTTACTTCTGGATGTTTGAAAGGAAACTCAGAGATAAATCCCTGAATGAACTATCCATCCTGACTTTTCCTTAGGGAGGGAACATCCTTAGGGTACCATTTGAGTGAAACGGTTCTTAAAATCTTAGTGATCATTTGTATTTTTCTTTTAAGAGGGAACCGTGTTTCTGTACTTCTGGTGACAGTTCATCTTAATGAGGATGACCTCTTTCTCCAAATTCCTGCAGGAGGTATGCATCGTCGTGGTTCTCCGTTCTTTTATGGTGCGGTTTCTTCAGCTCACCACTTCCTCATTCTGTGTAAGTACTTACCGAGTTCTTAGGACACAGAGCAGAGGAACTGGCTTCTGGGTATTAGGCTTCCAAGCCAAGCGTCTGTCCTTCCACTTCTGTTATCTATTGCTGCGTAACTCCCCCAAACTCAGACTCTTAAAAAGGCAAACATCATCTGTCAGTTTCTATAGGTTTGGAATTTGGAAACAGCTTAGCATCGTGGGTCTGGCACAGGGGTCTTAGGAAGTTGCAGCCCAAGATGTTGGCAGGGTCTGCAGTTGTCTGGGGCTGGAGAATCTACTTCTGATTTCTCTCTTTGTGGTTGTTGGCAGGGTGCCTCAGCTTCTCCACATGCAAGTCTCTGTGTAGAATATTGTGAGTGTCCACACACCATGGCCGCTGGCTTCCCCCTGAGTGAGTGATCTGGGAGAAGAAGGGGCAGGGAGGAATTTGCAGTGCCTTTTATGACAGTCTTTGAAAGCACACACCTTCACTTCTTATTCTGTTCCTTAGGAACAAGCCACTAAGCCCAACCTGCACTCAAGGGGAGAAATAGACCCCTACCTACTGTACAGGGCAGTATCAAAGGATTTGTGGATATATCTTCAAACCACCTCCCCCCTAACAGGATGAAACCAGGCCAAAAGGAGTGGGGGTTAGGTTTAAACTAGATGATATATTGAGAGAGATGTTGCTACTGAGAACAGTTTTCTGAGATGTGTTATCACCAAACCGGGATAGAAGACAGATTATTTCCTGAAAGCTACCTGCTAGTTTTGAGGGGTGGCAGGAAATGGCAGCTCCCGGGAGAGCATAATGCATATACACTTGCCTGGCTAACAGCAGCCCAAAGATGCTACTTTGCAAGTCCCTAAAAATTCAATACCACTTACTTGCTATCCCCTCTAGCCAGGAATTGACCAAGGGGATTGGGTCTGTGTAGCTGATCCACTAAAGCTGACAATCGGAGTTAGGGTTTCTAGCAAAGAGAGCAAATGTGAAGTAGATGTTGGATTACTGAGCTGAAGAAAAGTAATATAAGAACTCATCGTGTATGGATTTACACTCTGCCTCTTACCAGCATTTTCTTATCTGTAGCCCAGCTTGCTCTAGAGTTCAGATTCAGGGTGAAATAGATGATGGCATCTGAACCAGGCCCACCAGAGTCGATGCTTGACACCTGGTCTTCAGCTATTCACCCAAGGGGCTACTCGTCAAAGTAGGGAACATCTGGGAATTAGAAATGTCGGTCTTGATTGTCCTTTAAGTTCAGTATTACAGGCTAACTCGTGTGCCCAAGAACCAGTCTTGTCTTCACTGTTGCGAGAAACATTTTCTTACCTGTAGCCCTGCTTGCTTTAGTGTAGGCTTGAAGAAAAGCATTGCTACTGAGGCAGCTATAAGAAACAGCTATTTCTTCCCAAAGAAAGGAACTTATCTTTGAGGCACCTTCAAATTAATTATGCTTTTCCTTCTGATTTTAAGGTGGAGTCAACCTAGACGGTGTTTTATTTATCAGCTCTTAGAGACTCTCAGAACTTACCTTCCCAGTTCAAACATTTCCGTTAGGATGTACCCGCTGGGTTTGTGTGGGTTTCATCCCAGAGCCCATCATTCGCCAGTATGTATTGAGCGTCTGCTTTGAATCAAGGCCACTGGTGCAAGGGGCTCATCTGGGCAGTAATATCCCAGAAATTGAACCTTTTTCTATTCTCCCATCTTGGCTCCTCAATGGGGTATTGAGCATCTCGGCTGCTGAGCCAGGGCCCTCAGCCCCTTGTATATCTCTTTAAAGAGGAGGCCCAGTGCCTTTATTTGGGTCAGAACTTTCCCTTCTTGGCATGTTTCTGGACTACATGCATACCGGCAGCTATTGATAAATCTGCGAAACTCAATCACTCACCTGTGACCTCTGGGAGGGGAGTAGTATTTGTTTTAAAAAGGCATTGTTTCTTTGAGAGGGCAGTTTCTGTCTGGACTAGAAGGGGGTGCAGTTATCACACATACTTCCTTCGCCCCAAAGTTCTTTACCTTTCAGCTTTCAGTAAAAGATGAAAACAGATTTGGAGGCAAATCTTTAGAATGCTTGTCACCCAGGGGGATTTCCTGTTCTAGTAATCATTTTCCAGTTGAGTATTGGAGTTTCCTTGAGGCAAGCTCCCAGAAATTTTTTACTGAAGACTAAGGATGATTGATACATAGCTATTTTTTCAAACAATCATTCATGCCACCTTTCTCAGCTTCTGGAATGCACATTTCTTTGTGCTGGTCCTGGAAGTTGATACCTTTTGGGAAAGCTTAGATTTAGGAGGTCTTTCCCAGTCTTGTTCACATGGTCTGTGGTTTCTCTTTGCCTAACCTCTGCCTGAAGCCCTGGCAGACCATACTGTAGATGCTGGTGGAAAATATTATGAAGATGAAAATACATTTTCGGGAGTATTTAAACTCTTAACTCTGCCACCTTTCTATGAGTGGGAGGCGGGCTGAGAGATGCTGCAATGCTTGATAATCATTTAGCCGTGCTGAAATTTGCAACGGGAACTCTTGTCGGTGCTTAAAACCAGAATTCCTGGACACTTCAAACTTGGAGAATTCCATGGATCTAGCACAGAACAGCCATACTTGCCCATTGCCATCCCTTTCTCTCCATCTTAATCTTTAAAAAGAAAAAAAGGCAAAGCCCCAGCCAAGGGTGATTTTTACTTGAAACCAGGAGAGTGGGGGAGGAACACTGTAGAGAGAAGGGCGAGTTGTCCGCGCGTCAGCCATCTGCTCCTGCTGCGTGTCCACATCACTGAGTACTGTGAGCCAGTGCCTTCCCTTCACCTGAAGATGGAGCCGTCTCCCTCCCTCGGTGAGGAGACCCTGTGCTACCCAGGGTAAACCTTCGAGAAGGTGGCTTAGAGAGCCCGCTGGACACTCACATATTCCGTGTCCATTTTAAGCATCTTTAAAATATTTTAGACATTCAAAAATGCCCTTCCCTGTCTTAGCAACACCAGTGGCCCAATCCATCCATTCTGAATGGAAAGCAGAGGCTGCCAGTTCTTCCTTTGATCTTCCCTTCATCCCCCTTGATATGGCTGACCCTGACCCCTCATCCAGTTCACTATCATGGATGGATGGCAGAGGGCACCATGCAGTCCTGAGGCAGTCCTGTGTGATTCTGTGATCAGTTGTTTTGGGTTTGGGTTTTTTGGTGGTTGTTTTTTTTTGTTTGTTTGTTTTTTGTCTAATTGTCCTTTCAAACCAGCAGGTGTTTGGAAATTAGTGAAAAAATAAATTCTCACCAATGGTTGCTGTTACAGTTAAATCAATAAAGATCTTGGATATCAACTTGGTGTTCTATTTAATTTTTTAAGTTTTCAGGGGAAATCCTGTTGGTTTCACATTCTGGGAGTCTTGGCTGATGAGGAAGATGGGCAAAGGCAGTTGGCCACTTAATGTGTCTGTTCTCGCACTTAGGGAGCGCCAACTTTGTCCATCTACCCTGTATGTGCAGGGAGCGCCGACTTTGTCCATCTACCCTGTATGTGCAGGGAGCGCCGACTTTGTCCATCTACCCTGTATGTGCAGGGAGCGCCGACTTTGTCCATCTACCCTGTATGTGCAGGGAGCGCCGACTTTGTCCATCTACCCTGTATGTGCAGGGAGCGCCGACTTTGTCCATCTACCCTGTATGTGCAGGGAGCGCCGACTTTGTCCATCTACCCTGTATGTGCAGGGAGCGCCGACTTTGTCCATCTACCCTGTATGTGCAGGGAGCGCCGACTTTGTCCATCTACCCTGTATGTGCAGGGAGCGCCGACTTTGTCCATCTACCCTGTATGTGCAGGGAGCGCCGACTTTGTCCATCTACCCTGTATGTGCAGGGAGCGCCGACTTTGTCCATCTACCCTGTATGTGCAGGGAGCGCCGACTTTGTCCATCTACCCTGTATGTGCAGGGAGCGCCGACTTTGTCCATCTACCCTGTATGTGCAGGGAGCGCCGACTTTGTCCATCTACCCTGTATGTGCAGGGAGCGCCGACTTTGTCCATCTACCCTGTATGTGCAGGGAGCGCCGACTTTGTCCATCTACCCTGTATGTGCAGGGAGCGCCGACTTTGTCCATCTACCCTGTATGTGCAGGGAGCGCCGACTT